TGAGTACACCCCAGGGGCGGACTGACCATTTGGAAACTCGGGCACTGCCCGAGGGCCCGGGGTCAGTAGGGGGCCCCATGAGATGCCCCCGGTACCTTTTTCATAGGCTTTTTTGAGTTTGGGCAAGGATACAGGGGCCCCATGATCCCCTATTGCCCGGGGGCCCCATCAGTTGTCAGTCCACCCCTGGTACACCCCTCACATTTTTGTGAATATTTGATTCAATCTTTTGCATGTGACAACACTGAAGAAATGACAAATAATGATAAATCCTCCTGCGCTTAAATGGATAATCCCTAGCCCTAAGCTGCTCACACGTAAACCGATACCCAATTAGTGTATAAACCAAAATGTAAAATAGTGTAGCGCTAATAACACAATAAATGTATCCAACACACAATAATGCAAAAAATATATAAAGTAAATAAAGTGATATGATCCTGCCAGGATCTATGGTGAAATACAGTGATAATGTGAAAAAGAAGGAATAAATCCTATAAATTGGTGAATAATACCACAATCCCCCTTATCCGCAATTGAGGGATCAAACACTCTCACATACAATGGTGCAAATACGTATAAAGTGAATCCCCTACTATGGGGATATGAACCTGTACAAAAAGTGAGAAGTGCCACACACCACACTTAACCACATCCAAATGTAGACATAGAAAAAAGTTTAAATAATTGTTCATAAACACTCAAAATATATACAAAAAATGTCGAAGATTGTTGAAAACATAAACACGTGCTCCAACTGCGAATTTGTGCAAGTGATGATGTGTATACGTGGTCACAGCAATAGTGTAAATCCTCAAGTGGCCAAAATGCCCCCTCACCTCCTTCCAATGACCACAAGGGCCAGCTTGCTTTTAGGATCACACCCCGATCCTTACAGGTATTTATTCATCACAGGATAACAGGGGCGGACAGACCATTTGGAAACTCGGGTACTGCCCGAGGGCCCCGGGTCAATAGGGGGCCCCATGAGATGCCCCTGGTACCTTTTTCATAGGCTTTTTTGTGTTTGGGCAAGGACACAGGGGCCCCATGATCCCCTATTACCGGGGGCCCCATGAGTTGTCAGTCCGCCCCTGCAGGATAATATCCTCACTGGATCCCATCAATGGTGGCACTTACTCCTCTCCTTTAAGACCTCCTCCAGACACAGGTAGCAGCAATACCGCTCTCCCATAAAGGATCATATCAATAAAGCAAAAAGATCCTCCATAGTGTAATCATGTTTAATATGTGTACAATATTCACAAAATAATGATTGCCACACTCACATTTGCTCACTAACATATCAGCTTTCCACCTCATGCTATGGGTGTACTGCATGGGTAGTAAAAGGTGTTCCAAAATGGCGCCCACGCCGGAAATGATGTCACCGCGTACCGGAAGTTCCTCACCGCGTACCAACGCGTTACGTCACGCTAGTCGCGTGACTTCATCAGGGTATTTGCACCATTGTATGTGAGAGTGTTTGATCCCTCAATTGCAGATAAGGGGATTGTGGTATTATTCACCAATTTATAGGATTTATTCCTTCTTTTTCACATTATCACTGTATTTCATCATAGATCCTGGCAGGATCATATCACTTTATTTACTTTATATATTTTTTGCATTATTGTGTGTGTTGGATACATTTATTGTGTTATTAGCGCTACACTATTTTACATTTTACTGAAGAAATGACACTTTGCTACAATGTGACGTAGTGAGTGTACAGCTTGTATAACAGTGTAAATGTCTCCAGACCTAAACCCTATTGAGCATCTGTGGGGCATCCTCAAACAGGAGGTGGAGGAGCGCAAGGTCTCTAACATCCACCAGCTCCGTGATGTCGTCATGGAGGAGGGAAGAGGACTCCATTGGCAACCTGTGAAGCTCTGGTGAACTCCATGCCCAAGAGGGTTAAAGCAGTGCTGGAAAATAATGGGGGCCACACAAAATATTGACACTTTGGGCCCAGTGTGGACTCAACTGTTGTTGCCAGCGGTGTAGACATTAATGGCTGTGTAAATAAAAAAGGAACCTCAGCGCCCAGGACCTCCTTCCCCACACACTTAACCACGTGAGATGCTGCTGTGCATAAATATAAAACCAAAAAATTATTTTTCCAACTAAAAACAGCGCAAAACACACCAAAAAGCAATCTATAAAATACCCTTAGGGGCCATCTTGCCTAGTGGAGGAAGCTGCTTCTGAGGTCTGTCATCCTGCTGGGTTACCTGGCTGTAAGGTCTTACTGGAAGATCTAAGGAAAATCGTTATTACAACCATAAAATGCTGGTTATTATCCTTATAAATGTGAGTGGTTTGGTTTAAAGGTTATTGGGACTGAAAGTCATAATGGTATCACGCTATTTGGCTTTTTTCTTCCTGAATTTTGGTGGAGTCGGTGAGGGGAGGAATCGGAGGAGGTTTTCTATGTTCTAGAGGAGGCAATATCTGGAGGCTAAAAAAGAGGGTCCAGGAGCCCTTAATAATCCTGAAAGGCGTTATACTCACCAAACATCTGGTGAGTGCGGTTCATGTTGGTTTTGCACTGGTGGATGGTGGAAGGACTATTATTGGCACTGAAGAAATTTATGAAAATATAAGCTTGTTTTTTTTATCACAGGACGATTTTTTTGGATATGTCACTGGACTTTTTTTGTTTTTTGTATGTGCCACAAAATATTTTGTTTTTTGTCACTTATATATAAATTGTAATAATTTGCATTAATATTGCTTATAGGTTGGGTATTTTATAGATTGCTTTTTGGTGTGTTTTGCGCTGTTTTTAGTTGGAAAAAAAATTAATGGCTGTGTGTTGAGTTTCTTCTGAGGGGACAGCAAATTTACATGTTATACAAGCTGTACACTGACTACGTTACATTGTAGCAAAGTGTCATTTCTTCAGTGTTGTCACATGAACAGATAGAATCAAATATTTACAAATATGTGGGGGTGGACTCACTTCTAGGAGATACTGTACATACACATACATATAGTGCTCAGTATAAAAGAGTACACTTTCAGAATCAACATTTTCTATGGGACACTATACTACAAAATACCCCCACAAATGCCAGCCATTGATTGCAAACAAGATTTGTTAATTTGCACACACAAAAAAGTATTTTTCCTAACAAACTCATTCAAGACCATGTTGCAAAAACTAATACACCCCAATAAAAGTCTGAGGAGCAAAGCTAAATTTTAGGCAACAAAATCCTATCTAACAAGAATTCAACTCCAGGTGAGTCTAATTATTCATTAAACAGGTTTCCAGCAGAGAGCTGATTATAAAAGGTCATTACTTAGCATGAAATGGGAAGGGGTTTTCATTGTTATCAGCCAGAATACTGTAGCAAAAGTGATACAAAAATTTAACAAAGACAGAACTGCAACCACCTCACAGAGATATCAAGGCCGTCCACAGAAGTTAACACCTCAACAGGAGTGTCTTCTGATGAGAAGGGCTGAAGAAAATTGTCATGCAAGTTCACTGCAATTAGCTAAAGAAGTAGAAAGCCAAACTGGGGCGATTGTTTCCCGTGAGACAATATGGTGTACACTGCAGAGGAATGACATGCATGGGTGTCGTTCACGAAGAAACCCTCTCCTAGAGCCCATGCACAAAAAAGCCCACTTAGAATTTGCCAGGGCCCATGCTGAAAAAGAAGAAGACTACTGGGACTCTGTACTCTGGAGTATTTATGCCAAGATACATTTTTTTGGAACTGATGTCTTCAAAACAGTATGGTGTTGCAGAGGTGAGGAGTACAAAGAAAAGTGCATGGTGCCTACAGTGAAACATGGTGGTGGCAGTGTCCTTCTGTGTGGCTGCATGAGTGCTGCTGGTGTCGGGGAGCTGCATTTCATTGATGGTGTCATGAATTCACAGATGTTCTGCTCTATATTGAAAGAGAAGATACTACCATTACTCCGTGCCCTTAGTCATCATGTACTTTTCCAACATGACAAAACAAACACCTAAGGCCACTGTTGCATTTCTGAAGAAGAACAGGGTGAAAGTGATTCAATGGCCAAGTATGTCTCCTGATCTGAACCCAATCCAACACCTATGGGGAATTCTGAAGAGACGAGTTCAGCATCGCTCTCCATCCAGCATCCAGGCTCTGAAAGAGGTCGTTCTTGAAGATTGGAAAAAGATCGATGTTGCAATATGTCACCAACTTGGTCATTCCATGCCTAGAAGACTTGGTGCTGTCCTTACAAATCATGGAGGTCATACAGAATACTAGATGGAGTAGCTTTTGTTGTTGGGTGTATTCATTTCTGTATCAACTAATTTGAGTAAAACTGAAGATTTTGTAATCTAAGTTATATTATTAATCTTACTTTCATGTAATGAGCTAAACAAATGTTCTATAAAACTTAGTTTTGTCAAAATTTTGGAAATTGTTCTTGTGTTCATTGAGATGTTGATTAATATCTTACTTTTCAAAAGGTCTGTACTCATTTATGCTGAGCACTGTATATATAGATTGTCTTCGATTATTATAGGAGTTGTCTTCTTTCGGGTTGGCAGTTAGGGCCCTCATTCACACCACAATGCATCTGTTAACGCATGCACGTTGAGTTTTTTGTAATGGGTTGTAATGCGTTGTGTGCATTTTACTTACGTTGCATTTGTTTTTTTTTTTTTTTTGCCTTGCGGTACATTGTGTTTATGTGCATTTGAACCCTTTGCATTGCACTATGCTGAAGAAAAACAGTTCACATTGCACTTTTTTTTTTCAGCGCTGGGCAGAAATGCAATGCAACACAATACACTGATGTAAGCTGCTTTCATCGGGAACCATTAGTTTTTGGTTAGGAATGCTCTCACAAATGCACACCAGCCTATCTAGTGTGAATGAATCCTAAAAAAAAAACATGCTCTGTCAGTACACTTTCCATGTTTTGTCAGTAGAAAAAAAAAAAAAAAAAATGGAGCAGGTTGTTAGCAGCCCCAGACCTCTCTGAAGAGGTCTGAAATTACCTCTTCTCTCTGCAGAGGTCCGAAATGCCCCCTGCTGAGTCAGCTCTCCAATCACCAAAGCTCACACTCTCTACTGATTGGAGAGTTCTAACTTTGATTCAGTAGGGGCGGGTGTTGGACCTCTGCAGAGAGACCACTGCTTCCACACAGAGAGCAAGAGTCAGTCCTGTGTGGCTGGCAGGGGACAGGC